AAAAAAAAGCGGAGAGGGCAGGAAGACAGGTGAGTAACTCCACCAAGTCCTAGAACTCAGTGATGGTGGTGAGCTTGCTGCTGCATTTTGAGCACAGTATTTGGCAGTAACGCAGTATTCCCTACCTGTTTCAGTGTTTTGCTCTCTTCTTGTGTCATCTAAGGTTTTCTAATAGGGGCATAGCATTAGTAAGGCCCCCAAGAGCAGTAATCCCAGAACAGTATCAGGAATCCTCCAGTCTCCCAGTTCACTGGTGACCAGCTGAGATTGGCATAGCCAAACAGAAGTCAGTTCCCTGTAAGAAAAACCTGGAAATTGGGTTGCCAGTCTGGGGCCATATTGCCTCCTCTTTGACATGCCTATAAGGTGGACACCACAGTTTTGAGTAATGGAACACCGATTTTATTGCTTTATGCTTGATTGTTAGCTTTTTGTCAAGTGCATTGTTTCTTTTCTCTTTGAAAAAGAGTTTAAAAATTGGCTTCTTCTGACCCTCTTTTCCTTGGACTCCTAATGAACTCTATCTGTAGTAAAGTGGTCCTCTGGTGACTTATTTCTATACAATGAGCACCGACTGTTGGGAGATAGCCATGTTCCCACGGGTGGAGCTTACATTTTAGTAAAAGGAAAAGATCAGAACATGCAGATAAACGTGGTCCTTTCATATGCCAGCAGGAAAAGTGTTGTGTTCTAATAGAGTGTGGTGAGGGGAAATAACTGAGTGAGGTTGAGCTGGAAGTTCACTGTAAAGAGACAGTGTCTGAGCTGAGGATGGAAGAACAAATCCATATGGCACAGACGTGTGCAGAGCCCTGAGACAGAAAGGTTCATGAGCTGCTGCCGGCCTGCCAGGTCTAGGGGACCACACATGGGAAAAAGCTTGGGGAGGCCTGGGATGGGCAGACTCAGCATGGCAACCTTCATGCGCTTGACTGGGTTGTCCTTCTCCCACCTGGTGTCTAGGAAATCCCAGAAGAAGAAAGGGGTGCCCAGTATCTTGTCAAGTGGACGAGCTGGACAAGTGGGGAAATTCCGAAATGGCACATTGATTCTGAGTCCAGTGTATATCAAGAAGATCACTTCCTCCAGGGTGGCCAAGTGAAGGGCTCTTT